TACTGCAAGAGTCCCAGAAGAAACTATTACTGCACTAGAAAACGACGCATTCGAATTACGGAAGGTGGAAATAATCAAGTCGACCGCATCGCTCGGGAGTAATGAAGACTGGACTGAAGTCAATTTCTGAAGGCGCTAGTGACCTTGACGGATGAGATCGTACTAACCGCGGCTTCGGCTGTCAAGATGGTAGGATTCCTCGATGATGACGAGGGCTACTACGGCTTTGAAGATGAGGATGAGGATGAGCCTGAGGAAAGCAATTCTCAGTGAACAAAAGCACTGTTGTATTCAAGCATGACATCTCATTGCTATCTTGCCACTAAGATTATGGGCATTTCTTCAGACGGAAGAGCTTGAGAACCAGCTTCTTCCGCTGCGATTTGTTCACTCCTACTGGTTGTTCTCGACTGAGCGTCGAATCTCCCGCCCTGAATATTGAATGCTTGCACAGGTTGGATTTTTGTTGAATTTTTGTTCTTAGAGAGCTTCACGTGAGGGAGATCCAGGATATTATTATGTATCTGTCATTGATGCAACAAATTCGGATGGAAATGCTTTCATGCGACCAACTTCTTCTTGATCATGATCACCGCGACGAGCAGAGCTCAGACAGAACCGCCGCACGCGAGGATTCCTCAACGCCTCTTTCAGACGGCCATGACTGCGACAACTACGTCAAATATCCAGTAAATACTATTCGAGTAATGAAAAGACATCCATTGAAGTGGCCGCGACAAATCGTCACTCTCATGGGCATCCCTGGCGTCCTACCCATTCTTCCTATTACTCCAACACCCATATCAGGTTTCCCCGACACCGTCAGTATCTCTGGGATTGATTACTCCATTAAAGAGGGTCATGCCTGTACTCCGAAGGTTGTTGGCATGCTGCCCTTCTACGAATTGAGACATCTCGTTTCTATCCTCGTTGAATGGTGCCGTAGAGACAGAGCGGTTAGCTTGACTACGTGGCCGTGGCCGAACGAACTTCCACTTCAAGTAGGAGACCGGTACCACCATCTAACGGCCTTTCCCGTCATTATGTGTGGGACAGCTGCCTTTATGGCATACATAGATGCTGCACACCGCAGCGTACTTCGGGGACTATTCCAGGGAGTTCCTGGTGACGAATTATTTCGTCGAGCAGCTGCGGCTCAGAATGATGATGCACTGGATCCGTATGACTTCGCCATTCTTCTTGCGCTTGCGCAGGATCAGAAATTTGGACATATCCAGCCTGAGGAAGGGATATATACGGTGCGTCAATCGTACACAAAAGCTTCGGTACCTCTGACTAACACCAATTGTCAGACGAGAATTTTCTACCCCAGCTCTACTTGTGAGGAAATGATCTTCATTACTGCAAGGGTCCCAGAAGAAACTATATCTGCGCTAGAAAACGACGAGTTTGGATTGCGGAAGGTAGAGATCTTCAAGTCGACTGCATCGCTCGGGAGGAATGAAGCCTGGACTAAAAGTGAATTTCTGAAGGCGCTAGTGACCTTGATGGAGGAGATCATTTTAACCGCGGCCTCGACTGTCAAGCCCAGGGGCGGATTCTTCGGTGATGACGGGGGAACCTGAGGAAAGCAACTTGAA